GTCCCTGAAATCATCAGATGAAGAGTGTTCCGGAACCGAAATTCTTAGTTATACGACTAGGCAGAATTATCGAAGAGGTTGCCAACCTAAAGGTACCCCTTTGGAGCCTAAGAAACCTAATCGATCGTGATGTCTGTAATTCGGTCTTGATTGGCGAGGTTGTCAAAACAGGAGGTCATCAACAAAACGTTTCCGGGATCCGAATTGTTTTTCAATTTATTTTTGTTGTGCAAGCCAAAGGCTTTTCGCCGACCTGCTTGCTCTCAAGGTGCAGTGTAGCCATCGCAAAGTCTGAGATGAGCAGTCTTGTCTTGCGGCCACCCCCGAGGACTGCAGGACTAGCCCAGTCAGAGAACGTCGTTTCTCGAGATATGTGTGCTTCGATCGCAAGTCCTAAAGCGAGTTGAACGCGATGTCCCGAGTGGTAAGATTACATAATTGTCTCGTGTACCTAGTCCTATTGGACGCAGTCGCGCGGGCTTTCTTCATGATCCTATGTGAACCAAATGTTGAAGGTGCCATAATCTTTTCTCCGTTGGAAGGGTGATCTACAAATTGAAGCTGACAGCAATGAGTACCATGGCCGCTTAAGATTTACAGCCTCAAACACTTCTGTCCTCAGCTGAGGCTTCGGCTGAGTGTTTGGTCGAGGGTTGCCGGCCAAAGGCGGCGGATGGTAACTTATAGGTCGATTGTTTCACTGATTTAGACTCAATGACTTGACTTGGAGCCTCGGCAGATACCTGGTGGAATATCCGAAGTGCAATTTGAGGCCAAGGCCGGCTTGAGGGCCCAGTGAGGCGGTGCCGCCCACATCAATATTGGTTGACGATTAAGGAAATGAGTATCTTGATATGCCGTGGAGCGTGGAGCCAACTGGCTAGGATGACGGTTTCCAGGATGTACGGCTTATACACTCCCGAAATAGACGCTAACATGGGCATGACCAGGTGTAATGTCTCCCTTTACAAGTACATATTCGTACACATGGAGGCCAAGTCTTCATTGTGCGAGGTCAACCCTCCTAGCCATCAACCCGAAATGGTAGGTTGCAGCGGACGTTATTGGCATCGCCGTGCTGATCATTGCCTTGGAAGTCCGGACGGGAAAGTAGACTGGCAATCACCGACTAAGCAGCCGCATCCTTCGCAATTCATCTGGAGATCGTGACAGCCCCTGCTTTCAATTTGGGCCAATGATGGCTGGAGCACGCCATGGAAATATCTGGGGGAAAGACCCCGCTGTCCATTGATTGTTACTCGCGTCAATGGTTATTCCCATAGAGACCGATTGCGAGGGAGCGATTGTCTTTGTATCGTTGTAGTTCCGGTCACTTTTCTGTCGAATATTTTTTTTTTTGAAACAAACACAGTTGGATAGATTGATAGCTGCGACGTGGAAATGCGTCTATATGGGCAGCAGCCAACTCAGGTTCATGTTGTCGCGTAGTGTTCCGTCCGCAGACAACCATAGCATAGTTTGGAGAAACTGAGTTGATTTCGCTGAGGGAAACCAAAGACCGGAGACCGAGCTTCCACTAGATTTCAGAGGCCATGGTCTTACTGGGACCAAGATCTGGAAATGGTGTGATGAGAGCGATCGCGCCCCTGATCTAAAAGTTGAAAGAAGTTAAGAACAAAGGCAAGATATCTTGTGAGAGCTTGATTCTCATTCAACATGCTTTGAACCGGGGTTCGACACACCAAGATGCGTGTCCCTGGCGCTAGTCCACTTTGGAGAAAATTCGTTTCTGGACCGGCGGCCAATGGGGAGATTGCAGCTGTAGTCGCTTCAGGGGAAAATTACAGAGTAATACTCTGCAGGCGCCAAAGCATATTACAGCGCCTCCACGGACCACAACCCTATGGGATTCCATCGTGTGATCTGGTACAGATCTTGGGGAACGATGTGGTGGCCGGATGACCAATCGCCAGAGTGCATGGCGCCAAAGTCAGATGGGAATTGCTTATTTGCCATCGATGTAGAACGGGAAGCGGCACTGGTGGTCGCTCAGCTGCACGATCTGCAAGACGATGCTAGCTCCGTCACCCTTGGTAGGGCAACTATCGCACGAGCCTAATTGCAGGCGTCTCGCTCTCGTGCTGAGTTTCGTGCATGCAGCATGGCTGTGTGGTTCCCTGGGTTTGAAGTCGAACTTATCGAACTCCCGGGTGATCTTCTGGCCAGAAGCCGTGGAAGCTTGACTGCTTGTCTGGGTCTCGGTGGCGGCTGGGCAGAGTGTACGGATACAGCTGTTGCAACCCTATTGTCTGGCTCGAGCCCAAAGACAAACTCTGAATAGTGATCGTGTAGTGTAAATAGCACGAGCAGACTGAAGCATGTGTTCGAACGAATAGAGTGGGCACGTCTGTGCGGTAGATGCCATAAGTTGCCATTCTGGGCTAAATGACAGGGACCCGGGCTGCCGACGTTGACTTTTTGACGGATATCCAAACTCGAATCGGCGTCCAAACTGGTGGTAGTAGAGCATGAAGTGGGTGGTAGAGGCATGATCTTGTCTGTGTGTTTGCCCCCGGTCGGTGGTAGAAGTGGCCAGGAATGGGTTGAACCTTTGAGATAGGGTAACCCTGAGTGGGATCCGAAAAACCGGATGAGGCCGTTTGCAACTTTGTGAGGACGAAGAGAGTCAGTTGCGTCTGAGCGGCGAGGCGAAAATGAGGCTGGAGGTTTGACAAGATGAAGACGGGGAATGTCCTGGGCAGGAGCAAGCCTGACGGTTTCAATGTTTCGATGACACGCACGAAACATTGGCAGAAGAAGAAGACAGAAAAAAAGCCAAGACCAAGTAAAGTGGTCTTGGTTTATTCCCTCGCGTGTGCGGTAAGCAGGCTGAGTTCTGACTTTGGCATCTCTCTGGTCAGTGTTTTAGCCGGGAAGGCTAACTGGGTGGGAGTTCATCGGCATCGCTGTCGTTATTTGGCTTTCTTGTCGTTGTGTCGGGTAGCGGACCGAAACACAAGACGAGTCGGCATTGTTGTCAAAGGTGGCAATGGCAGTGACACGACGCGGGTCGAGCGTGGTTTGGCAGCCGAGTGACTCGAGTCGAGTTTGGGTGGCCGCGAAGTGAGGTGGAGAGAGTTGGTCGATGATCGGGAAGTGCGAAGAATTGTTTGAACGGGGCATGTATGGGCAGCTCGCATGATATTGGTAAGATGAGGTCAGCTTGGAGATATGTTTGTGAGAATTGATCATCACAATGCATGCAGCATGAAAGTATGGAAGAACGCAAGGCACGAAGGGAGGCTCCTCCCAGAGGCTCTGCTCTTTCAAGTTTTTTGTTTTTTGGTGCCGTAAGGCATGCACAGACAGTGAAAATCATCGTATGTACTCGTATGCTATAGGCGGGCAGGGACAGGTGCATCCAGTCTGCGGATGTGAGAGGCCGGATGCTATCCGCAAGGTACCGCAAGACAGGGCAAACCGTGGATGTGCAGGCGGAAGCAAGGAAGGAGGTTATCATGGGAAAGAAGCGATTAGCAGCCGTGCCATGGCTGAACCTTGAATGACAGTGAGTGACAGTGTGTCAGTGACAAGGGAAGGACATGAGGTGGACAGAGCTTCAGACTCAGGTCCCGGACCAGACTGATGGAACTGTGACTGTGCGCGCGTGGGTGGGTGTGTTTGCGCGTACTGCGTATGTGTGTCGTGTGCGTGGGTGCGTGAGGTGAGGTGAGGTGGATGCTGGCTGCCAGCCTGCCACGCTGCGTAGAGGCGGCGAGGCGCTGACAGACAGAGAAAGCGCGCTGGACTCGGTCTGGACAGGGAGGGGAGGAAGGAGAGAAGAGTGGAATACCTAAGGTACCTACCTGCCTTATTGCGCACCTTTCCAAGAATGGATGGATGGATAAGAAAAAAAAGAGTACGTACCGATTCACCTGATTGGGCGGGGCTAGCGCAGGAGGCTAAAATTGCTCCTGTTCGAATTCGTCGAAAAAACGGTTGTCTCACCCCTGCCGCCGGCCAGGGGCGCTAGAGCAAGGTACCAACGCTGCTCCTTGCTGCTCCTGGATCCGCCCAGGATGTTTCCTCTGTGTCTGAATGTTGCGAACCAGGCCTCCCATTCGACCATTGGTCAATTCACCTTCCACGAGCCATGGTACCGCTGTGCCACGGTACGGATCTAATACCTCCTACCTGCCTTGGGGAAGGACGGATGGATACTCTTCTACAAGTCCACATGGGCGCTTGTCCAAGTTCGATCTTCTCTTCATTTGCTGATTGCTTGGATGCTTTGTTCTAGACTGCCATTGGGAAACAACACGGGAGCACTCTGTGCAGCAAGTCTATCAAGATGAAGGCGTATCGAGAGTGCAATAGCCAGTCGCATTGCACAACGCCCACCTACCTTTTTATGACTCTCGCATCTAATCGGCACGACGGCACCTTCCCGTAAGACCTTCCAACCTTTTCCTCGCCCGCCCGTATCCAATGTCAAGCATGGAGTACCTGCTCCGTGCCTATTATCTATCCACAAGACCACATAGCACGACCCTCCTCCCAGATCGATCCATTCTGCCCAGCAAACTTCACAAGAAGAAGAAGAAGAAGACGTGCAAGTTTCGGCCCCAGCACCCATCGTGTCATGGATGTCACGTACGGTTCCAATAGCAGTGGCCCCGGGGTTGCTGGGGCGAACCATCTCCAAGCGCCCAAACGGGAAATGGCGCCAAAGCAGAAGCGCTACGCTGCAACTACTGCCCCACACCATCTCCAAGGGTCCCTGTGCGCGAGCATGGCCCCTTTTTGGCCAGTCGCCGTCTGCGATCCCACCCTGCGGCCTCTTCCACCATTTGCCCTCCCAAAAATCCCCCAATACTGTTCCATTTCCTCTTTTTGCCCTTCCTTTTTCCAAATGGACAATGAGCCTGGTCTCGAATATCTCTTGCTGCCTCCCAACTTGGCTCCAGAGATAAGCCAGAGTAAGACACTTATGAACAGAGACAGCCACCGCCGCTCAGATCTCGACCCTAATCATAATCATGGCGGCCCGCGACCCTCGCCCACCTCGTCTTAACCTTCACCTCGAACGCCCTCCGAGAGCCACGGGAGACCCTTCAACTTCTGATACTCTTAACGCTTCATCTGATGACCTCCGTGGACGCCCACCCTACCGCGACCCCAACCGCCCTGCAACCTCACCTTCGCCCTCGCCTGGTCGTACCAGATCGCAGACTTTGCCCGTCCAAGTCCTGACGCCTACCTTCAATCCCGCCAAGGCAATCAAGCGGAAGCCTCTCTCCTCGACAGCTTCACAATTGGCCGCCAGCTACGGTATCGGCTCTGGTTCCAGTACCCCGTCTATACTGTCACCTTCGGCCTTTGCCGCCCCCGAAACACGTTTCTCGAGATCCTACTCTGTCGACAGCCCTACCCTCTATGAGTTTTCCGACAACAACAGCAACAACGTTCGCCCTCTCTTCGCACCACCAGCTGCTCACCAGAAGCTTGACATACAGTGAGTCCGAACGAACCCCTTTGCCTTTTCATCCAACTTTGCTCGACCTCTGCTGGGTCGTCCCTCACTCGCCTGCCAGAGGAAACAACTCTTTCGGTACCAATAGCAGCTAACCAGACTTTGACCTCTTGCAAGCAGACCCCCACCTACCGACCCGGCAGACGACGCGGCTTACTTTGCTTCACGAAACAACCCAAGCACCAACCTTGCATCCCCTCAAACAAAACCTTCAGACGGCCTGTCAGAACCTGCCTTTTTGACCTCCGACGTCACCCCAACCTTTTCTCCGAGGCTACCGAAAGCGACACCACCTCAGCCGATCATCGAGGAGGAGGAGGACACGGACGAAGATTCCGAGTCAATTTACAGTCACAACACTAATGATAACTCTATCATGTCCATACCCGCAACCAAACCTACTCCTCCCCATCTGAATCTATCAACGGATCGAGACAACTCTTCGCAAACAGTCACCACAGTCCTAGAACTCAGACAGTCACTCACGCCTACTACATCAACTCCCACTCCCTCGATCAATAAACCTCTTCCCAAATCACCAGGCTCTTCCAAGCTAGCCAACTTCTTCGGCTGGGGTTCTTCGCCGTCACCTTCGACGACAGAGTTCTCCTCTCTCTCATCCCCTCTTAATTCGCCTCGACGAGCTACTCTGACAGATGACACCCCTCTCACAACTGGAGTTCCGTCACTGCTGCCAGAACCTCGAAAAGGGAATGCGACGCCAACAAACGCGCTTGGATATTGCGAATCAAACCTATACACACCACCGCCTTCCTCCTTAGCCCCATCCCTACAAATCGAAGAGATGGAGGACGAACTAAAGGCCATCAGCGCCGAATTGGCATCGTCCATTCGGCGCGAGATGGATCTCGAAGACCTCGTCGATAGACTCCAGTCTGAGATCAATAACCCACAAGCCTCCGGCAGGAGGACTAGCGACTACTTTTCCGACTCTGGATATAGCTCTGCCAAGTTTAGCGAATACGACCAGAGCAAGGAAGAGGTCGAAAAGATTCAACGTCGTGCAGAACAAGAGAAGGCTTCAATGCGACTGGAACTGACCAACAAGTTGCAAGATGAACGGTCGCGAAGAAATGAGTTGGACCAGCAGATTAAAGAGCTGGCAGAGAAAGCTTCGCAGGTGGATGTTGCCCAGATTAATAACGAGGATACCAACAACCGTCTTCGAGACTTGGAGCACACATGCGAGGATCTCCGCCGCAGGCTCGGAGAGGAGGTGCAGGTAAAGTCTAACTTTGAGGACCTGCTCTCTGTTCTCAAGGTTGAGCTTCAGAGCACTACGAATGAGCGAGACAACCTCCGCGACGAGATCGTCCCCCAGTTGAAATCAAAGCTTGATGGCCTTGAAGCTGAGGCATCTGAGTATGCCAACCTCACCTATGAATCATCCAAGATGCAGCAAGAGTTGGAAGTCTTGAGACAGGAGAACAAAGCTCTCAAGTCTTCCGGACCACCACCACCACAGCCGGAGACTCGCGCCCGTAGTGCAACCAGCAGCTCGACTCGCCTTGCTCGTTCTAGCTCAGTAACGGCTATGCCATTCATCCTTCAAAAGGCGCCGTCGGGCTTGGGATTGACCAGGTCAAACACCGTTAAGTCAGGCGTGACCGAATCTCGAGAGCAGCTGTCGGAGCGCTTGAAGGATGTCGAGGCCCAGAGAGACGCTCTCCACAACGCATTGAAGAGCCTTCTCGAACGCCAAGAATTCCAAAATCGGGAAAATGAGAAGAAGATCAAGACCTTAGAGGTTGAGCGAGAGAGACTGATGGTGACGTCTCCACGACAAGCTGGCTTCGCCAAGGACATCTCCAACCTGAGGGTTGAAGTCAATGTATTGCGTCGTCGTGCTGACGAGGCGGCTGAACAGAAGTGGCAAGTGGAGAAGGGCCTCGCTGGCCTTAAGATGGACCTCGATCGTGCTGAGGGTGAAGTTGCTGCACTCCGTGGACTGTTGAAGGAGAAAGACATCCTCATTCCCCCATCGATGGCCCGCGGCAGCACCTATGAGTCTGCGTCTGTTCCTGTAACTTCAGAATCCTTGGAAGCTGCTTTCCAAGACCTCCAACTTGCCTACAAAGACTCCCTCCTCAAGATCAAGGATCTGGAAAGCAGCGGCTCTATGGTTGTGGGAGACGAGGCTACGAGACTGGCTCTCGAGAGGCTAGAGCAGTCCCTGACGTCTGCCGTCTTCGAGCGCGATACGGCGAAGGAAGAAGCCTCGGCCTACAAGGATCAGCTGGAGAGCTTGGCGGGCAGCGAGGTGGCACATCTTGAGAGCGAGCGCGCTCTTGCTGATGAGCTCCGTACGTCTGCTCAGCGCGTTGAGGAACTCGCCTCCCAAGTTCAGAACCAACTCTCCGTGAACTCTGAACTCCGCCAGCGCCTCGCGGAAGCCGTCGCCCGTGGCGATGCCGACCGCAAGGCCAACGCCGACCGCATTACACGCTTGCAAAGTCGCCTCAAGAACCTGGAGGAGCAACTGCAAGCTGCTCAGATTTCATCCGAGGAGCGCGTGGCTCGACACGAGGAGCAACTCAAGGAATTGAAGGACGCGCAAAGTGTTCAGCTGCGCCGTATGAGCCCTTCGCCTGGTGCCAGCAGCATGCGCTCTCCTCGCAAGTCGAGTCTCAGCCCGATGCCATCGCCAATGTTCCCTCGGTCGCCCCGTCTCATGCCGAAGCAGTCTGTCGAGGATGAGACGCAGATCGAGAGACTGCGGGTCAAGGTCGTTGAGCTGGAGACAGCGCTTACCGTTGCAGACTCGGAGATGCAAGATGTCATTGCCCGCATGAGCACTGCTCAGATTGAAGTTTTGACGCTGCAGGAGGAGCGCGAAGCCGCGCGACGTGAGACCAGACGTATCCAGCAAGAGTTGGAAAAGGAGAGAATGAAGGCGTTCGAAAATCGATTCAAGACGCTCGGCAGCTCAGTTCAATGATATAATCGGGCGACTCGGCTCGGATAGGGGTTGGTGCCACGGCATAACACGGCCTCCTATACCCGTCATCAGTATGCGGCGCGCCTCGTTTCAGGATGAGCACCTGGGCCAGGACACTCCCTCGACACCTCTCCAGTTTTCACACCGCACGCACTCGAAATTTGATCTCTAGGTCACCAACATTGTGGCCGCATTACCTCCTGCGAAAAGGAGCAAACCATGCATTGGGATAGCGAAGTGCGCATCGATCACTTACATCGACGTTTTTTTTTGAATTTTTTAGTTTTGGGCGGGTATCGGAGCACCATCATCTCTGGGATGAGGCAGTGTGCCACGATTCCCCACAGAATGGGCTCCCTCTTTTTTTGGAGGTGCTACACAAAGCACCGTTGACGGCCGAAAGCTACAGCACATGATATATGTCTCGCCAGTCTGCAGACATCTCTCTATACCTCTATTCTATATACTTAGTGGGGCAGTGCAAGCACGCAAGTGTTTGTGTAATGTGTTTATCTAGTCTATGTCTTCTGCTTTTGCCCTGTTTGCTCCTGGATGTCCTTTTGCAAGGTTTCTTTGGGTCAATTGGTATGAGGCTAGAATTGTACAAACAAGAAACGGAATAATCAAGGGCGGGGGTCATTGAAGAGAAGGAATCAGTGGAAGAAGAAAAAGACCAAAGCGGCCTTGCCATGAGAGAATGGAAAAAGGTTCGATGCCGGCAAGCGTCAAGGGTTGTGAGGATGCCTGTGTATGATAGAGAAGAATTGACGACTTGAATCGTACAGATCTTGACCCGCCTTATACGTGACTTGTAAGCAATGCGCTCTGTTGAATCCATCGTGTATGATATGAGTTGGCCTTTCATCAGTGGTTGCCCTTGGGGTGGTGGTGGTGGTGGTGGTTAGCGAAAGCGAAGTTGGTTCAGTTGGTGGTGCATTGAGATAATCCCGACGGGCTGGAGAGGATTGCCACACCAAACGGGCGGCCCGCGAGAATCAACGTCAGATCGTCAAATCGGGCACTCCGGGACAGGGAGACCCCGGGGCCATTGCATGAGGCCGGCCAGCCAGCCATCCAACTTGTACTTCTTTTGCTTCTTACATTTCCTTCTTTCTGTAGTAAAATAAAAGCTGTTGAAAAACTTAGTCCAGTTACAGCTCAGTTACAGTCCAATCACGTTTTTGAGAACAAAGATCTAATGGGTGATGTGCTGCGCTTCTTTTGAGTAGGGAAAGACTAGGGATATCAAATGTCTCGTTTTCTGTTCGTTTCATCTTTTTGGGCAGTTTCCACCTTGTAACCAGTCCGCTCTAGCTTTTACGAAATTCGCCGTTATTTTGGTCCAAGCAATGGGGAAAATAGTCCAATCATCAACTGTTCTCTATCGCGAAAAGTGCATCGTTGCTCCTTTTACAGATAGGTGACTGGCCTACAGTCCACCGTACTGCTTCACGATGCCCGCGACCTTGTTGGCGAGCTCATCAGCCTCAGAGCGGGTGGCTGCTTCAGCGTACACACGGCAGGCGTTCTCGGTACCGCTGGCGCGAGCGAAGGAACGAGCGCTGGTGTACTTTCTAACACACTGATCAATCTCGTCTTGAGCTCCCGCAGGATGGCTGAGGCGACGCTCGGCATCCGTGGTCTGGAAAGCATCTTTGTTGCCAACCTCAACACGAACCAAGCGGTTGGGAAGATCCGAGTAAGTCGAGGCCCAGTCCTTGAGAGTCCAGCCCTTGTGAGCGAGAATTACCTCCACCATCAACATATCTGACAGCGCATCACCAACGGTCTGGTTGATGAGGTTGCCGACGGCGGCGAGGGTCTCGAGGGCATCCTTCTGTGCGGGGGACTGGGGCTTTGTCTCGCTGAAGGCACGCATAGCATCTTGGCTGAAGATGACAGTGCCGTGGCCGTTGGCCTCGAAGTAGGGACCAATGTCGAATTTGAGAGCAGCATGGTGCAAGTGCTTGACGCCGGTGGGCGTGCAAACGACGGGCAATCCGAGATGCTTCTCAATATAGTTGGTGCTAGCACCGTTGGCATAAGCGGTCTGGACGACGCCGATGCGCAAGTCCTTTTCAAGGCCGGCAGATCGAACCAGATCGCCAATGAAGGAAGCAGCCAAGGTGGATATCCGATCGCCGTCGAGCATGAAGAAGCCGGTGTCCGGGTCGGTGTAGTAGTAGATCAGGCGGTCGGCGTCACCGTCAAAGGAGCAGTAGCGAGCGCCTGGGATGGGCTTGGGAGAAGCAGGGGCACGCTGCTTGGTCTTGACAAAGTCTGCACCACACTGCACAAGTTAATTAAGGGGTAGAGTGGTACAGGTGCGATACTACTCACGTCGAGGTTGAGGACTTCGGGGCGAAGAACATCGTCGTTGACAACCTTGACGTCGAAGCCAGTGACATCCTTGGGGACGTGCTTCAGGAACTCGGTCAACTTGGGGCCACCAACACCGTTGGAGCAGTCGATGGTTAACTGTCCGTCAACCTTGCGACCCTTCAGAGCCTTGACAAAAGCGTCGGCAAACTTCTCGTAGTACCCAGTCTCGCTGACCTTGCCATACGACTGCGGTGTGCCCTCGGTGTTGACGCATCGGGTGAGGTAGTGGAGCTGGGGAGTGGTGAGGATCTTGTAGTCGGTGTACTCAACGCCGGTGGCCTCGAAGGAATCGGCCAGAGCAGCGACAAGCTTGTGGCCCGAAGGGCGGGTGTCTCGACCGTAAACGACGCGTGCAGGGTCGGACAGGTTGATGCGGAGCTGGGAGGCCAAGGCCTTGTAGTTGTCGACAAGCTCCTGGTCCGAGGAGCTGTTGACAAGCTTAGTAGCATACGACTCCCACTCCTGCTCAAGCATGTCTCCCATGGGGTCAACGATCTTGACGCCATTGTCGGCAGCGGGGTTGTGGCTAGCCGTGATCATGACGCCAATAGCCTGGCCATTGAGCTTGCGACTACGCAGGCCGGAGAGCAGACCGACACGAAAAGTGACACCGTCAAGGAGATCAGCCTTCATCCGGAACCCCGCAGTGCCATACTTGAAGGTATGGTTCGGAACGATAGGGTGCTTTTGCGAAGCGGCGATGATCTTCTCGTCCGACATGACGGGCTGTGGACTCAAGCGAATGGCTATGGGTGAACGAGGCAATTTCAAAAAGGATTTGACGTGTTGGAAGAGCGATGGCCGGGGTGGAACAAGGAGAGAAATAAAGAGGCAACGTAGTAGGTAATGGAGCTGGGGATGTTTACGAGGAAACAGTGGAGAGAAATGGAGGCCGGCAGTTTGCCAGTTGCCTACCTTACCTTACTATGAGGTGCTTGCTGACCTGGAAACTGGATGCGGTGGCCGCCATTCCAGCGTGCTGTTTCCTCCACTCAACTGTTACCTACGTCCCTGCCAGGCTCACCTCAGCTGCCCACCATTTACCTCATGCGAGAACAGCAGCGACTTTAACAGGCAGGCCCCGCCGTAGCCATTGCCCGTGATGCAATCATGCAAGTCAGACTGGGCGCTGGATGGATGCAGCACACCGCAAGAGGAAGGGGTGGGGTCGCAGCCCGGATTGCCCCTCATCAGCGTCCATGAGGGGCACAAGTGGATGACAGACCACCTAAACTGCCGCTCAAGACATCTTGGCGGCTTCTGTTCATCACCATAGATACTGCCAAGTTGAATCTCCCGAGATACTGAAAGCTGCAAAGGGTATTCCCAATGGTATCAAGACTTGATGCCTTATTTATGAAATATTAATTGAAGGTGTGGCAGTGGTGAAGCAATCGGCGGAAACTTGTCACTTACTTGGCTGCCACGCTGCTCAGGAGATGATCGGCGTCCCTCAGCGCTCAGAACGCTGGATGGTCCTGGCACGAAAGTCGGATGGGGTATGCTTCATGTCACGTGGATTCGTGATGACCACTCTACGCCAAGCGCCACTGCTTGGCGTGTCTGCGCGTCGCGACTCCAAGTTTCCTTCCTTCCCCACCCCCTCCTTCGCTTCTTTCTAGCCGGCGAGGCACGCTCTGCACCTAAGTCGACAATTGCAGTTTGGGCCGTCGTCTTCTTTTCTCTCTTGGAAATCGCATTTCTTATCCCGGCTGCATACTTGCCGGCAGAAATGCTCTTTTCGGCGTTGAGCTTTTGGCAATGATCTTTGAAGTACGGATACCCCAAGGAAACTCCAACATCACAGCGGCACTATGGCTGGCGAACACGAGCAATACGCCAATCCCCTGCTCCTTGACTGGGTAAAGGAGTGGCTGGATACTGCGAGAGAACGGAACATGAAGAGCACCTCCACCTATCGAAATGCCTATGAGTCTCTCAAGGCATGCCCCATCACCTTCAAGCATCCAAGCCAGCTCACCCAGCTCAAGGGCTTTGGAGACAAGCTCTCTTCACGTCTGACCGATAAGCTAAAGGAGCATTGCGAGTCAAACGGCCTGCCTATGCCTAAGAATCCACGGCTGTCTAAGGAAGATCGCACATCCCTCGGCGGCGCTGCTGAAGATGACGAGCCCCCTCCACCCAAGAAAGCACGCAAGGCAAAGCCTTACGTTCCAACATATCGCTCTGGCGCCTACGCTCTTCTACTATCACTCTCCACACTGGATAAAGGTGTACAACTTGGAATAACCAAGGCTAGCCTAATAGAGTTGGCCCAGGAACACTGCGACGCATCCTTCTCGGCGCCTAGTGACCCTGGCAAATACTACACGGCATGGAACTCTATGAAGACGCTTATCGAAAAGGATCTTGTTTGCGAGAAAGGCCGACCACAGAGGCGGTACACTCTTACTGATGAGGGATGGGAGGTTGCTGAGCGCATCAAAAAGACCACAGAAGCAACCGGTGCAGCCGACCAAGCTGCCGCAGGCCCTAGCACGCATGACGGTCCTGTCGGAGGGGTCAACCCTATTTCCATATCGTTGAATAGAGATGCTTCGCCATCTTTCGAACCAGTGGAACCCCCTAGAACGACATCAGAGTACGAAGGCGTTGTCGCGAATGGACCAGTGGTTTCGGATGAGGCATCGTTACCAAACTTCGTCCCGATTCGGCTTGCACCCGGTTCTTTCACTGTTCATCTCGCCCTTGACATCCGCGAAGTTCGAGCAGTCAAGGATCGCGACTACATGCAAGACGAACTCACCAAAAAGGGCGTAAAACCCATAATGCGAGCTCTGGACGTCGGCGACGCGCAGTGGATTGCCAAATGCCACGATCCCAACGCCTTATCCCGCCACGGCGCAGAGGGAGATGAGATTGTGCTGGATTGGATTGTTGAGCGCAAGCGACTAGACGATCTTGTTAGCAGTATCAAGGATGGCCGTTTTCACGAGCAGAAATTTCGACTTCGGAAATCTGGAGTCAAACACGTTGTCTACATAGTCGAGGAAATGGCCTTGGACTCGGCGTATTTCTCCAAGATTGAGGAAATGGTTCAATCCGCCACCGCGTCTACACAAGTAGTTAATGGCTACTTTTTGAAGAAGACCCAAAAGATGGACGACACGATCCGGTACCTTGCGCGGATGACGTTCATGCTCAAGAAGATGTACGAATGCAAGCCTCTTTTGGTCATCCCGACCCCGGTCTTGACAGCACAGAACTACTTGCCGTTGCTAGAACACCTTCGGGAGAAAGAGCCTACGACGAATTACTATATCACATACGCGGCCTTTGCGTCGTTGGCGTCCAAGTCAGACATGATGACTTTACGAGATGTTTACCTTAAAATGCTCATGACGACTAGGGGCATTACGGGAGAGAAGGCTTTGGAGATTCAGAAGCGGTGGAAGACACCGCATGCTTTAATCAAGGCGTTCCAGGAATGCGGCTCAGGCGAGCAAGGGCTCAAGAGGAAACGGGAAATGGTTATTAGCGGTCTGCCCAATCTTGTAGGGCGCAAAAAGATTGCCAAGGCCGTCAGTCAACGGCTAGCCGAGGTCTGGGGCGATGCATGATTATGAATTGAATACCCTCTTGCGAATATACAAGAAACAGTCCACAGAGTCGCCCACCTATCCGATGTCACACTCACTTTGTGATAACAGATAGGAGATTATTCTTTCACCAAGGCCTATGGCGTGGCAGGGAATGTCCTCGTTTGAATTGCCCCGCACCCATAGGTCACGAGTTGGAGTCTCGTGAAAATCCTAGCATCGCTACACCTGGGGCTGGTAGAGATCTCCTAGGATTTCGTAGGCCTATCATGAGGGGAACTAAGCTTTTATACTTATATATCAGTTCATTCCTTTTTTCCCTTCGTCATCTATTCTGAATATAGTGAATCGATTGGTTCTGATTGATTGTTTATTTGTTTGCTGTATCGTCACTGGCAGGGACGCGGGGGTATCACACGCCGAGTACCAAGTCACACATGTCGCATGATGCCTTGTACAAATGAAGAGCATTTTAAAACACCTTATTTCAGTAGCTATATGGAAGAAGCTCGTATAATAACTAGGAATGACGTATTTCTTTTCGACACATACTCTCCTCAAGACCTACCACCAAGTCCCTGAGCTACGATCCGCTCAACCATTCTCTCCAACGGAGCGCTGCCGGCACCGCCGAGGTACCCGGCGAGGCTCTTCTCGGCATACTTTGCCATCATGTCCACCTCAATATTGACAGTGTCACCGGGCTTCTTGCTCGCGACAACGACCTTTTCCTGCGTGTAGCTGATCAGCATGACCTCCCACCAGCCCTCCTCATCATTGACCTGCGTCACGGTCAAGCTCGTGCCGTCGAGCGCGACATAGCCCTTGTAGATGATGTAGCGCAGGACGGCCTTGTCTCGCGGCGCGAAGCGGAACGTGAGGGCGTTACCGTCCGGGGTGACGGCCAGGATGGTGGCCGTGGTGTCGACGTGGCCCTGGACGAAGTGGCCGCCCATGCGGGTGTCGGCGCGGACGGCGCGCTCGAGGTTGGCACGCGAGTCTTTGACAAGGGAGCCGAGGTTGGTGATGCGCAGCGTCTCGGGGGCGACGCCGACCTTGAAGGAGGGGGGGCCGGAGGCTTCGAAGGATGTGACGGTGAGGCAGACGCCGTTGATGGCGATTGAGTCGCCAAGGTGGCAGTCTGAGAGGAGGGTGGAGGACTCGGGCAGGGTGATTGTGAGGGAGGTGCCTCCTGTCTCGTCGTTGGGGTTGAGCTCCGAGACGACTGGGGGTGGGATGTTAGTTGAGGACATTCCAAGTTTGATGTGTGATGAGGGGTGAGTCAAGGGCAAGTGATGAGGGGTCCGGACCTCCGATTTCTTCGACGATGCCGGTGAACATGGTTGCGTTTATGAACTCGCTCAGTCCAGTGATGGTAGTATGATACTCTATGAGTGAAGTGTTTATCAAGCTACATCAATGAGAAGTAGTGGCGATGAATTGGATGAGTGAGTTGAGCTGAGATGAGAAGTCATTGAAAGCTCTCGGAAGCTATGGACGTCTAATCAGAGTGACCCCTCCAAGCACAATCCCCTCCCCCACTTTCTATAACGGGCGATGCCGCAATCCACTCAGAGACACTGGCCTGATTACATATGCCAGCGCCCAATGCATTCCTCGTGATTCCGATGTTCCAATTCATCTATCGCGCGTTCCTTCGTCCGATCAGCGGAACATCCAAGTCTCTCTACTATCGGGTCAATCCGTTAGCTCATATCAATAAAGTTCTTCTACGGCGGTCGACGCTAAGTGACATGTGTGCTTAGAAGGCACGTAGCACGTATTACTAAGCATGGCGACCGTTTGTTCGTGCTTGAAGAAAACCAGCCAAGTGGGACTCTTTACATTTCCCTACGACCCACGCACTTGTTTTGTTGTGGGGACGAGGTAGACATATAAGCATCATCACATCAATGGGGGACATGAAACTTTGCGGGCGTTTCTTGTTGGTTCTTGCGGCTGATGTCGGAAGTCGGAAGTTCCGAGGGGAATCCCAATCCTTCAGCTTTCGGGACGCGTGAGCCTATCGCGCGTTCAGTCGAAGTGTTCGCCTATTGTTCACCTTGGCACGAACTTACAAGCTGGCAGTTGAAAGAACTCAATGTGGTTACTTATATAACTTGACCACCGGTCCTCGGCATTCTACTAGCCATCAATTTCTTGTCGTTGTTAAAGATACTTGGCACGTCCCTTTACATGGGTTGTGCCAATACACCAATGGCCTCGTCAGGCCCAGCCACGGCGACTTATACATTCATCATCATTCTCGAAAACAACAAGAGATTCATGAAACCCGTGACCAGCTTTTCCAAGGTTGAAATCCGTACGCACTACACAGCCATCTTTATTCACCTCCTCAGAGGTGTACAAGAAACCAGGCGAGTCGGGCCATGTTGCTTCGTTGCCCGTGCTCAATTGTCAGCCACCAACATGATTTGAGACGACCAGCACCTTCAAATTGCCTAGCGTCTGGCTCTCTCTCTCTCTCTCTCTCTCTCTCAGCCGAGTCAACCGACTTGGAGATGGATGAGCCTTGCCTGATCTTGGACCCTGAGTGGTACGGACAACAAATCCGTGGTATCCACGGCGTTTTAACTCGATAGTCCGTGTCCCAAGGTGACAAATAAGCTTTCCTACCTAGCATGTTTGGGGGACAACCCAGCATTGCCCATGCTTACACGCCCTGAGACAATGCCATTTCGTGATCAGTGAGGAAACTAGACACTCCTTCAAACAGCTGGATGGAACGTTAAAGGCACTTAGGTATGGGTCTTTACCGATAGCGAGGGCACAACTCGTATGTATACGCAGGCTTCGTTTGGTTCATCTGGGCCGATCTGGATCGACACTATTCGCTCGTTCACGCTGTTCCCACGGTAGCCATCAAGGTAGATCTGTCCGCTAGACGCGGCAGCGAAACATCATGACTATGCTGGTTTCTCTCGTTTGCGCTGTTGCCTTCTTTTCATCTCTAATATCTGCGCAGTTCGTCGCGCAGCCTACGGATCTCAAGACGGTCAAGGGGGCCGGAGGCGTCAATGTGCGATTCAAAGAGGTGCCGAACGGCATTTGCGAGACCAACCCCAATGTGAAGAGCTTCGCAGGCTACGTGGACGTCAGCCCGACCCAGCACATGTACTTTTACATGTTCGAAGCACGACAGAATGCCGCCGCGGCTCCCTTGACCGTCAGACTCGACGGCGGGCCGGGAGCATCCTCCATGAACGGCCTCTTCACTGAGATCGGCCCTTGCTCCATCGACGCCAAGGGCAAAGTGGTGGACAACCCAAATTCGTGGTCGACGGTGAGCAACCTGCTCTTCGTCGACCAGCCCGCGACCGTCGGCTTCTCCTTCACCAACCTGGTCAACGGCACCGTCAACCCAAAGACGGCCGAGATCGTGCCCCAGCAGTGCACATCCGCGGACCCCATGTGCGGGACCTACTCCTCCATGGACGTCTCCCTGACGCCCAACTCGACGGCCGACGCAGCGAAAGTCTTTTACCAGGTGATGCAGGGGATCATGGGCGCCTTCCCGCAGTACGCGGCCAACGGGATACACATCAACGGCCAGTCGTACGGCGGCCACTACGTGCCCGTCTTCGCAGACTTCATCACCCAGCAGAACAAGGCGAAAGCTCCCGGCACCGTCCAGGTGCCCCTAAAGTCCATCTCCATCGAGGACGGCTTCATGGACACCCGCGTGCAGTTCGGCGCCTACTTCAACTACTCCGTCTCTCCGGGTAACCCCTACGACGTGAAGCCCTTCAACGACACCCAGCAGAAGCAGCTCTTCACCAACATGTTTGGCACGGGAGGTTGTCAGGACCGCCAAAACGCCTGCAACGCCCAGCCGACCGACAAGCTCTGCGCCGAGGCCGACGCTTTTTGCGTGAAAAACGTCGAGGACTTCTGGGACGTCAACGCCGGCCGCGCCGAGAACGACATCCGCCTCCTCCTCCCGGAACCCTACCCCTCGGCCACGTTCGTGAGCTACCTCAACAGGGCCGACGTGCAAGCCGCCATCGGGGCTTCCAACAACTTCACGCAGGCGTCGGTGCAGACCGCCATCGCCTTCGGGTCCACGGGCGACGACAGCCGTACGGGGGCGCTGGTCACGCAGTCGCTCAAGAACCTCGTCCAGCAAGGAATCACCGTCTCCCTCTTTACCGGCGACGCCGACTACGACAGCAACATGGTTGGCGCGCAGATCGTCGCGGCGCAGCTGGGCACCCCGAACTGGGCGAGCGCCGGGTTCGTCAACATGTCTGCCAACACGGACGGACAGGTACCTGGGGAGGTGAAGCAGGCCGATAATTTCTCCTTTACGCGGCTGTTCTTTGCTGGTCACCTGTCCGCCTTCAACCAGCCCGAGGCGGCGCTGAGGATCCAGGAGCGGACGATCAAGGGGGTGGACATCGCGTCTGGGACGACGCCGATGGTGTTTGGGAAGAACTTGATCACGCAGGGCCCGCCGGAGAGTACCTTTAAAGAAGGCTCCGCGACGGTGCAGACAAAGGTTGTGCCCAAGGGTGCCGTGTATGATCCGCATACGCACTTGCCCGTGTTGCCTGGACGGGTGGCGGCGGTGGATGGTGGTGCTGATTTTAGTGTCAAGGCCGACCAAGATCCGGATATGGAGCCTCATCCGCTGGCTGGTATGACGGCGAAGAATATCAGAAAGATGTTGAGAGAAAATGGGCCGCCACAATTAAGAATTTAGTTAGATTAGCTGTATCGGACTTAAAAATGTTTAGATCTCATGAGATCATCTCATTTGCCAAGACCCCTCAATGACTTGTACATGTGGAGGTGAATAAGTGAGCCTGTATATGTTTGTCTACCTGCCTTTGAAACATTCTTTAGAATTTCGGGACAACAATCTCGTCTCCAGAGATCAGTAGGAGGAAGTTTCCAATCAGGGGTCTCCGCAGCAGACCCAAGTAACCGTACACATACGAGTCCTGTTGTAGGCAGGGTGACCCTGAGGTACAAATATGAGAGTCAACAGAAAAAAGGCCAGCAATGACAGGGAGCTCCGAGTTACCAAGGTCATTGTACATAGGTATTTCGACTCTTGGACGAACTTGGTGATGCAAGTATGATACTTTCAGCCTTTCTCCCCCCGGGTGTCACAAAAGTAACGGCCCAAACACTGGCTCTCCAACTATTTATAATCGACCATAAGATGAAGTCGGTGATTCCCTGGAACAGCAATTTGTGAACGACTAGTGGAAGTTTTCAACTGACATCAACTTGAGATAGATGGAGTCTACCTGGGCGCCAAAAGACTATCCTCTGCGTCTATAAATCCCTGGTCAAAGTGCTGGCAAGGGAATAGAGGAAGAAGCAAGAACGTCCAATCGACGATGTATATCAAACATCTCTCAAGGCACATGTCGGACAAGACGGAACCGGGGGCAGACTGCTCAAGTATCTGTCTTCTATGGCCTCAAATTTGGGGATCAGAGATGCTGAGGTCGTGGATGACGAAGAAGTAGTCAACAGGTCTCTCCTCAATGAGTGTATGGCGAGAAAGCGTAAGGTATCGGTGTGAGTGCTCCGTGAGGTTCCTCATAAGCATCCCTTTATCGACAAACGTCGTTGAGCGTGAAACTTGGAACTACTTTGGCGTTAACACCCACCTATCACCACTTGTTACGTATTCGCAGAGCATCGTGAAGTCAACAGTGAGATAAGGTATCTATCCCATATCCCAGTCATCTGAAAAGGTCTCTCTCTCATCTCAACGTCCTCCTCATTCCAATATCCTATTTATTTATTCATTTGCCATGATCTGTCCAGGGCCCTAGGCTTCGATCCTGAAACCCATGAGTTTTTCTCTTCCATACAAGGTTTCTCTCTTGAATTTAAAAGGGTTGTGACACAATCACAGTTGTCCAGGTCTATGAGAACAAAAGACCCGCCGCCGCAAAAGGCTTGCTCAAGTTCTCTCAACTCCCTCCCGCAAAGTCCTGTCGTTTCTGAAGCATGGATGGCCAAGACTCATTCTATTCTGTCGCGGACCAAATAATTGCCGAGGATGAGCCCTCAGATAAGCTCCGTCATGTGAACTTCTATAGTAGACAACTTTACATACTTATCTATCGTCGAACTTATTCAAGTACCCTGAGGCCAGTCTTTCACGTGGTCCATACCTTGAGCATCATACGCCGGCACGGCACCCATCTGCCGTCTGCCGTCTGCCGGGGTCGCCGAGGCCGTCGTGTAACCTTCATACCTGACTTGGTGTTATAGAGGTACCCACACCGGAAGGCGATCAAGCTTTTGGCGCAATTTGCTTAGATTGTGAGCCTCAGCTACGGCCTACAAGCTTCCTA